CGAGGGAGGGAAGAAACAACGCAAAAGACAACTGTATAACCACCACAATTACCTAAAGGAGGCTATAGCAGAACTGCAGAATCCCAGAATGGCCAGGGTTGGAAGGGATCTCAAGGATCATGAATCTCCAATACCCCTGCCACATGCAGGACCACCAACCTCCCCTATTTAATACTAAAACAAGCTACCCAGGGCCCCATCTGATCTGGCCTTGAACATCTCTAGGGACACAACCTCTCTGGGCAGCCTGTTCCAGTACCTCACTACTCTCTCTGTAAAGAATTTCCCCCTGACGTCCAACCTAAATCTCCCTTCCCTCAACTTAAAACCATTTCCCCTTGTCCTGCTGTTATCTACCTTTCAAAGAGTTGACTCCCCTCCTGTTTGTAGGCTCCCTTCAGGTACCAAAAGGCTGCAATGAGGTCACCCCGCAGCCTTCTTTTCTCCAGGCTGAACAAGCCCAGCTCCCTCAGCCTGTCCTCATAAGGGAGGTGCTCCAGTCCCCTGATCATCTTCGTGGCCCTCCTCTGGACCCTCTCCAACACTCTGTCTTTCTTGTACTGGAGGCTCCAGACCTAGACACAGTACTCCAGATGGGGCCTCGCAAGAGGGTCAACCTTTTCTGCCAGGTGACTATTGACAGCATGAAAGGGAAAGGCCTGAAGTTGCACCATGGGAGGTTCAGAGCGGATGTTAGGAGAAATGTATCCTCAGAATGAATGGTGAGGTAATGAAACAGGTGCCTGGGGAGGGGGTGAAGGTTTTCATGAAATGTGTAGATGTGGTATTAAGTGATACGATTTAGTGGCCAGTGGGTTGATGGTTGGACTAGATGAGCTCAGTGGTCTTTTCCAACCTTAATGATTCTATCAGTCTATAAAGATGGCAACGTACAGAGGCCTGCTTCAGACCTGTTGGCAGCTTCAGCAAGCAAGCAGCAATAAAATGGCCTTTAGCATTTAAAAATCGGGCATTTTGTTGGTTAATGGTAAGTTTAGCAGAAGCTGAACATTTGGAGAAAAAAAAATCATGAGAATATTACGAGAGCTGATATTCTCGCAATGATAACAAAAAGCTAAACACAGCTAGAGTTAAAAAAAAAAAAAAAAAGAAATAAAAAAATGGAGCTATTGCTTCCTCTTTGAAATCAGCACAAAGAAGGGCTCTGAAGGTGGATATCATGCTTTACAAACAGTTAGGAAGAACTGTTGCACGAATGGCAGGCATCGCGCAGCCGTGCGACCAAGGAGCGCAGAGCAGAGGAGCTGCAGGGAGGCCTGATGGCGGCTCAGCTCCTCGCCGCGAGCGCCGAGCCCTGCTGTGTGGGGACGGCGGTTCCGCCTTGTCCTGGGCGAAGGACCGGACGCGGGTAGCACCGCGCACAGCCGCCACCACACCTGGAACTCGGCCACAGGCTGGGTGTAAACGTGAAACGCCCCGCGCGGAGCCGCGGCTACTCACGAAGGAGTCGCAGGCCACCAGCACCACGTTGGGCCGGGAGGAATGCCTGGGCGGCCTCGGCGCTGCGCAGCGCGCGGCAGCCACGACGAGAAGCCCCCGCAGCAACACCAGCGGCACGCCGCCCCGCATCGCCCCGCAGACGGTCGCTCCGGGCGCGGAGGGGGCAGAACTACAGCTCCCAGCATGCACCGGGACGGGCCCGCAGGCTGCTGCGGGAGGAGGAATGCGCGTGCGCGCTGGCGGCGGATGCGGGGCTGTGAGGTGAGCGCGGCGAAGCGCGCGGCGCCGTCGCCTTATAGCCGCTCTGTCCCTTTTACAGCCCCTCTGTCCCCTCCACAGCCGCTCTGTCGGCGCTCTCCGAGACATCGGGCGGCAGTTACGTGGTTTCTCGGCTCTCTGCAGGAGGACGTGGAGCCCAGGCTCGAACGCTGCCTGTGTTTTTATGGTTGCGATGACTGAGGAGCCCGGCCCTTGTCAGGAAGCTGTCTTTCTCTCCAGGAGCTGTTGAGTGATGTGAGTGTGATTTTGCTTTGAATCGTTTTGTCACCCTCAGGGAGTCGCACGTCAGCCATCTTTTTTAGCCCTGTGAGGCCCTGGGCAGCCTGGTGTAGCATTAAACGAGGAGGTTGATGGCCCTGCCTGTGGCAGGGAGGTTGGAGATTCATGATCCTTGAGGTCCCTTCCAACCCTGGCCATTCTGTAAATATTCTAGGCCCACAGCCCATCTTTTGCTCTTTCGTCTCTAAAAGCTGCTTTTCCATCTTTTCAGCCCCTTTCAGTGCCTCACCGGCGGTGTTGTTTCTCCGTTGCATCTCATTTGGCCAGTTTAATGATGTTTTTGAAGTTTGCTGTAGGTTAAAAAAGGATATGAACCCAACTGGTATATAACTGTGGTGGAGTTTACAAGAAGTGATTCCTTGTCCTTTAAAACTGCTTCTTTCTCTGTGCGGCTGCAGTCAGAAGCAGGGTCTGTCCTAGTTGTGTGAGAAGGAATAGGAGTGCTGCAGGTCCTGCATGGGTGCTAGTGATGTGCTGGGTGTCATCCTGCTACAGGTGGTGAGCAGGAAAGTCTCTGCTTCTTAGGAACCCCTTGGGAGCATGTCCAGTGCTTACTGCTTAAGAGAAACTATGCTGTGTCCTTTGTAGAGTGAATCACATAATGATTTGGGTTGGAAAGTCCATCCAGTTCCAGTCCTAGTGGCTGCCACCCATCAGGCTGCCCAGGACCGTATCCAACTTGGTCTTGAGCGCCTCCAGGGATGGTGTATCCACAGCTTCTCTGGGCAGCCTGTGTCTCACCACCCTCGTGTGCTGACATTCCTGCAATCTAACTAAGGTGACTGTCATATAACACCTCTCATCCAATTTAAAATTATCACAGAATGAAATTTGAGTTAAGACTTAAGGTGAATACTTTGTATCGTTTAAATCTTTGGGATATTGGCATAATCCTGCGTAGAAGCTAAGTGTAAATAATTAATTTTAACTAAGTTGTAATTTCTGCATTTTTTTAGGGAAATATCTTTCAATATGCGTTTTGATGAGTTGCAGTATAGTCCTATGTTTTAAATGCTTTCTTTATGCTACCATGGTCGGGCATAAGTAGAGTTCATTATGTCAGTAGAGTTCATTATGTCAGTAGAGTTTCTTATGTCTCTCTCTGTTCACTAACGACATGTTGTTTTTTAATTAGCACAACAATGTCAAATAAGGAGGTAAAGGCAGCATTAAAGAGTGCTAGAGAAGCCATAAGAAATAAGGAATATAAGGAAGCCTTAAAGCACTGCAAGGTAATTATTATTTCATTGGAAATTCGTAAGAACTGTATAGTTTTGGTGAGTGACGCATCTCAATGTTGTAAGATTGATTACATAATTGAATTTTTGTTTCCTTTTGCTTTAGCATTTGCTTACATATGGATAAGAGAACGTTAAGTCTATAATAGTGATTCCCAAAATTCATTTATAATCTATACCTCAACCGGAAATCTTTAATTGCTAAGCTGCAGCTATGTTAACTGGCAGAACAATTCAGACATGGTAGCTTTTATGGCATAAAAAGCTGAAGTTGTTAATCTTAACCTTTTCCAAAAAATGAGCTAGTTTCTGGTATCAACTATGAAGAAGAATTAACCAAGTTTTATGAGAAAAGTCAATATATAAATCAGTAAGATGCATCTCATTCATCAGTTTTACCTAAAAAAAAAAATGTCTATTTCCAGGCAGTCTTGAAGCAAGAAAAAAATAACTACAATGCTTGGGTGTTTATTGGCCTGGCAGCTGCTGAGTTAGAACAACCTGATCAGGCCAAAGGAGCATATAAGAAGGCTATTGAACTTGAACCAAACCAGTTACTGGCGTGGCAGGTAAGTGTATGTCCATATGCACTTGTTTTTGCCATGAAAAGTGTTACTGTGGAGTTAAATCTGGGGAGAAGGCAAAACTGCATTGTGTTTACTTCAAGCACTTGACTGTTCTGAAGCTTTGCAGTAGCAGAAGCATTGTATGTGTCCGAATAAAAGACTTGGGTTGTTACATGTGTGCAGCAGAGTAAATTTTAGTTCCAGAATACTTAAGTTCCAGTGCACCTAAGCAGACAAGAGAGCAGTAAAACACTCTAAAGAGAATATGACTTAAGACACACATAGCCAGTTCATCTGTGCTCTGAAATACCATACTTATAGCTCAACAAACGTTTTTTGGTGCTTCTTTTGTGAGAAAGAAAATGTTTTCTCTAGTGCCTTATTTTTCCAGCATGAAATAGATTGTTGTTTGTTTTTGTTGTTTAAAAAATAACATTATGCCCTTAAAGTAGCAATGTGTTGGATGGTGCATACACACCAATTTCTAGTAGTGTATGGCTATGGCATATTTGGATGATGGAGCATCAGTCTGCATGATAGATCAACTTCTCACATGCCGGCATCCAATATATTCTAATATTGTAAAGCTTTGCATCTTAAATATAAGCAGCTTTTTGAAGTATAAATGCTGGTGCCTGATTTCAAGGTATACTGAAATATTGTTAGTTGCCTAGCAGTCATATTCTGGCCTTCTGTTACAATCCATGGTGGTATGATACTTAGAGCATTTACCTTAGGACTTAGCATGCATTGTATATAGTATGTCTTGTAGAGATCATTTAACATTTACAGGTTTCAAATAGTTGTCAGTATTAGAACAGGAAGTGAGGAAAGCTTTTCATGTAAAACAGATACAAAGTTCTCAACCAAGATTTTCCAGATTGGCTAATGTATTAGCCCATGGAAGTGGGGAGAATATTTACATACATATATATTTTTCTTTGGCAGAACTTGCAATGTAAACTTAACTCATAATTGCAGACATCAAATGTTGTTATCTGTTGTTATCTTTTTTTAAACAGGGATTAGCAAATTTATATGAGAAATCCAGCCAAACAGATGTCCAAGGAGATTTACAAGATGTATATCAAAAGCTCTTGGAACTCTATGAAAGGTAAAGTGTACTGAGTACCAAAATTCAGTCTAAGGTTTCTTATTCGGTGAAGTTACCACTTTAGTTGCAGCTGAGTTGCAATTTTTAAAATTATGTTATCTTTTGTCTTCTGTTTAAGCTCATGTCTTAAAACAGGCATGATACCAAGCCTGCATTGAGTAGGCTTAACTTCTCTCCTTTAAGATGGCAGGCTATGTCACCCTGCTTCTATAGATACAATTCTAAACAAAGGTAACTCAGTTGTCATTGTAGTTTGCTGGAGCATTACATTTGTTTTCTGAACTTGAAAGTAGTTCAAAAGGAAAAACCCAGTCCTTGAAGTAATTGTTTATCCAAAGCAACAGTGAGTAAAAGTTTTAAGGCAGTTTGTAGTATTTATTCTAAATGTTTGTTTGGCAACTGTGAAGTTACAAAAAACTTATTTGATGGAATTGAAAATCACTATTTAATGGAAAGCTCAGCTTTTTTTTATTTTCTTCTTTCTAGTGGAGACAAGCAGAAGTGGTGTGATGTATGCAATAAGCTGGTGGAACTATATCGACAAGGAAATAAATACTTAGAGGTAGGTTTCTCTCTTCTGATTGGAAGGGAATTTCTTGTTAGAACAATCAATGAATCTGTAGGTTTTTTGGGGAACAGATTACTGAAGATCTCTTCTTGGATCACAACTAAGAAGAACTGATTTTTGACGGTTATTTTTTTTTTTCCTCTGCATGACAGATTTGGATGGAACCTCTTAAACTGATGAAACTTGAAAAAAATATATTGATGTATAGACTGAAAGGATGCAACCTCATTTTTCTGTTTTAGATCTAGAAGTCCAGTGTGATCCCAAAAGCACATTTGCTCACAGTATCCCAAAGACCTTTCCCTGTCTTGGCCAGTTCTACATACTTGTGTATCTTGTCTCTGGTGGGATCATTCTCTCCTAGTTTGTTCCTTTGTGCCAGAGGAATTTACATTTGCCACAGGCAAGCTGCCACTCTTGTGCAGAAAAGTAAGGACATGCAAAGCTGCTCTGGGACATCACAACCTAGTGCCCGCCTGGCAGGAGTCTTAAAGTTGTCTGCATAATTGCTGCAGAAATAATTTTTTCAGAGTACCACGAGGTGGAGCTGTTTAATGCTTGTACAGTTCAACAGTAGCTTTGCCTACAGCCTCCGTGGTGGTATTACAGAATACTTCTTGCAGTTATACTTACCACTTTTCCTTTCATTTTTGAAGAGTTTGCTGTTGTGTAAGGTAGGGTGTGGTTTTATACTGTACCATTTTCCTCTTTTTCCTTCAAAAAAGAAAGATTTTACTTTTACAGCTGTCAGATTCAAGAGTATTCATTAACTTCAAAGTTTCTTTGCATAGCACTGTCTGAAAGTAAATTAAGTGATAATATAATGTACAAATGCAGACTTGTTCCAAGTGGGACAGGAAGCCACAAATCAGGTGTTAGAGTCCTTCTTTCTCAATCCTGCACACTGGAATTTCAGTTTGTGTTCTTTTTGTAATGCCATAATTCTGATAAGGCTTCAATTTGTCTATGAGAGGTTATAGGAGGACTGTTTAAGTCTGTTTTCACTGCTGATTTCCTCCAGGAACCAGTCACAATTCATGCTGTTGATGTTATCTTGGAAGTTAGGCAGTTCTGAAGGTAATGTTTTGGAAACTGTTACTGCTCTAATCAGAAGGCAGGTAACCCTAGGTAATCACTTTCACCCTTTGTCTACCCTAATATGGTAGGAAGCAAACTCCTTCTGTCTTGCTCCTAGTCAGGATCTACTATTTTGCTTATGCCTAATCCTGTTCACAGCATGCTGCCTTTCAGTGTGTATGGTAGATAATACAGGAAGGGCTTTGCCAACACCTGTATTTTGAGGTGTAGTATTTTTCTTTAACATAAGTCTTATTTA